AGACGCGCTTGTGTCCGCGTCGCTATTTGCGACGTGCGCTGCCTCGGCCTCACTCTCAGAGGCGGTGCTGGAGGTGGAGCTGCTTGAGCTGCTCCCCTCGGTAGGCGCCGCCTTGCTGCCGCTGCTTTTAGCAGCCTTCGTCTTCGCCTTTGCCGCTGCCTTGTTAGTCTTTGGCTTTTTGGCAGCCGCTCCTTCCCCTGCTTCCTCCTTTTTCTTTCGTCGCGCGGCGGCCTCGGCCTCCTTCTTACGCCTGTGGCGCTCTTTGGCTTGTTGCAGCTTATCGTCTGTCTGGAACCAAAGTTCCAGCTCTTCTTCTTTTTTCTTTTGCTCCTGTGCGCAATGGTTGTCCGATGGGGCCCCGAAGCTGAGGAAAAGGCTGTCGTGGAACTTTTTCCTACCCTTGCCGTTCCAACCGGTACATCGAGACGTGATCCGGAGAGAGGTCTACAGAGTTGGTTTCGACCAGCGAAACCCGAAACCCGAAACCCGAAACCGACTGTTAAAGTTGGTTTCGAACTGCGAAACCCGAAACCCGAAACCCGAAACCCGAAACCGACTCTGAAGACTTAACTTCCCAAGGACCCATCGAAACCCAAAACCCGAAACCCGAAGCCCGAAACCCGAAACCGACTCTGAAGACTTAACTTCCCCAGGGCCGATCGAAACCCGAAACCCGAAACCCGAAACCCGAAACCGACTCTGAAGACTTACCTTCCCCAGGACCGATCGAAACCCGAAACCCGAAACCCGAAACCCGACTCTGAAGACTTAACTTCCGCAGGGCCGATCGAAACCCGAAACCCGAAACCGACAGCGAAAGTGGGTTTCAATCGACGAAACCCGAAACCCGAAACCCGAAACCCGTCCCCAGGGCCGATCGAAACCCGAAACCCGAAACCGACTCTGAAGACTTAACCTTCGAAACCCGAAACCCGAAACCGACTCTGAAGACTTAACTTCCCCAGGGCCGATCGAAACCCGAAACCCGAAACCGGGTTTCAATCGACGAAGCCCGAAACCCGAAACCCGAAACCCGAAACCGACAGCGAAAGTTGGTTTCAAGCGACGAAACCCGAAACCCGAAACCCGAAAAACCGACAGCGAAAGTTGGTTTCAGTCGACAAAACCCGAAACCCGAAACCCGAAACCCGAAACCGACTCGAATCCGACTTTTGGGTGGCTCTCCGGATCGGAACTCGGTACATCCAATCTCCGAAGACTTTTGTATCCTAATATCTTTATGGCTACGATCCTGAAACTAGAAGAGTTCAGCCTACGTCGTGACCTCAATACCTTGACGTTTGCAATCCACAGATTGAATTACACCGAAAACATTTTGACACAATATGCCTATGCATTGATGCTATAAAGAAAGCTTCTCGGTTGCTGCCTCCTCCTTTGCCTTGTTAGTTCGGGCATCGAGGTGCCCCGGCGCGCCACCTCAGGTCCCGGGGCCACAACACACGTGCTTTACGCCCGAGGTTCGTGCGTGCAGCAGTGTAAGCAAAGGTAGGGTTATTCTGTGGCCCCCGGCTTTGTTCTGCTCGTTTTTGCCGTCTGATTAGAGCGTACTCCTCTTATCCCGCACCACAGAGCACTGCCCTCAGCCGACCGCATATCTATGCATTTATCAATAAATCTACATAGTTATAAATATATATATATATATATCCGCGTGCAGAAATACACAGACAGCGATATATATATATATAATTTTATATATACACATCGATATACATACGCACATATATATATATATACATACATACATACATGCATACATACATACATACATACATGTATACATGTACTTCTACATTTACGTCCTTCGAGACGAGCACTACCATGCTAATCACATGTCCTCGTGCACCAACCGAATCATTTTTCTGCCGGGGGGAAAAACAAAGAAGACAACAGATGGCCCGCTCGAGGCCGCCACTGCGGTCAAGGAGGCGGGCTCCGCGCTCGCCGCTTTAGCGAGCCGACTTTTCGACCCTCCGAGGCCGCTAATCATTGGAGAACCACACTGCTTCGCGACTTTCCGACCTTTTCGCGCACCTGGATCTTCTTTCTTCGGAGGGTTTCTCTTTTTGACTCTCCTCTGACTCTTCCCATCTCTGCTTTTCGTCGGTCCATATTGTAGGAAGTTTGACTTCCAAACTTCCTTCGACCAAGCCCTTGCCTTGAGCTTCTTGGCGTTCTCCTTCCGGTGTTTGGCCAGAAGGCGCTCTTTGACGTCCTGCGCCCAACCACAGGGCTTCGACGCAGGTGAGTTTTCAGTCAATGCGATTTTTTGCACCTCTTCCTTGAGGACTCGTAGTACTTCTTCTTTCCGCTCCTGATGAGCGCAGCATGACCGCCCGGAGAGAACCCGTGCCGTCTGGCTGACATACTTACGTAGAGTTGCATAGATTCAGATATGCCAGTTACAATTTGTTCTGTAGATACAGGTCCCCGCGTTCTGTTGCGTAGGTCTCCTGCTTCTTTTTCAAGCAAGAGGCTGCCTTGACCCGGCGCTTGACTTTGTGCGCCGTCCCCTGCGCAGTTTGTGGCGCATTTGCATCCCCAGGCAAGGGGGGTTTCGAGTTATCTATTTCAGATGTTTGTGGAGACGCCAAGGGTTTTCTGCCCGGTTGCCGGGCGCGGTGTAGAACCGCATGCCGTTGAATGTAGTTAGATCATGGTTGGATTGCTTGCAACTTCCCCGGATGGGAAGCTCTAGATTCGCTGCATGACCCAAAACTGTATTTTGAATTTAAGTGTCTGTCATTGTCTTTGTGACTGAAACCTAATATGTATTCAAATCAAATTTCCAGCCGAAGAAGGGCTCAGTATGATCTTATCATTGGCACAATAATCACTGTTCAGTGCAGAGCCTTTTCAAACGTGTGAATCAAACCATTTACAAAGGACACTTAGTTTCGCTAACATCGAATCCTCCATCTAAATGCAGTCAACTTGGTCAAGTTGCCATTTTGACCAATGCGAATATATCCGATTCTATTCAATTAAACTCATTTAGATCACATCTAGTGGATGTATCTGGCATTCTTCTTGATATTTGATCATCTCTACTGACATTATGATATTCTGTTTGTCATTCTATCTAGCAAAAGGACCAGGGCGCTGACAAAGCCCCACGGTGCCCTTTTTTGAGCAAATACATTTTCATAGCTTGCTAGCATGAAATTTCAGCCGTCGAGAAAACATTTTTCCAAGTAAAACCACCCAAAAAAAGAAGGAGACCGGTGCCGAAGATACATCAAAAGGTTGCTGTGCAAAACCCACGAGAAACCATGTGGACTTGGCTGACTTAGCTAAGTGACTTATAATCACTTGCCCACGAGAAATTTACGTTGGACCTAAGTCCACTTATAACCCGGCCAACTGTTTGCAAGTCAAGTATAACTTCAGCTGCACTTATACATGACTTAGGTTGGACATAGCCCAGTTGTAAGTACAGATAACATGGTTGTAAGTCCACTTGGGCAACTTACAAGTGAACTTGTAACTCAGCGAAGTTTGAAAAGCACCAAAGTGTGCCAAGCCCTCCCATTCCCCCGCTTCCCTCGTTTCCCTTGAGCTTGGCGTGCAAAGCTAGCCCGGCAACACCAAAAGCCACGCCAGACTGTCGATTTATTGCATTCTGAAACTGCCTTAGGAGTTTCACCATGTGCTTTTGTTTAAGGATTCCAAGGGGCCTTCAAGCATGTGCCTCACATGTTGAAAGCTTCGTTTCCGCTTTTCGGAAATGCTTCGAAGCTCTTGATGGAAGGGTTCGTCCTTCCAATAGCTGAAGCCAAAGCTTTTGAAAAAGCGACTTGTCACAACATGAAGCATCAGAGCATATCAAAGCCCGCCGATCCCCTTTTTGGAGGGTCGGCGGCACCCGGGCGCTAGCCCATTCTATATATATAATATTGTATAATTCCTTAGAGTGGCTCTGTGACATGCTTTTAGCAAGCCTCCCGCCTGTTTGCGTATCAGCATCTTTGTCAGCCCCCGCTTCGATCAACAAACGCACCACTTGTGGGTGATTGCCTCTTGCAGCCAGGTGCAGGAGCGAATGCCTCGATGCTGAAGCAATGCTGCTGCCACTGCCCTGTCTTGACAAATCTTGACAAACTGTCCAAAGTGTCTAGCTTCGACGTGGCAATGATGAAGCAAAGCTACGGATTTCTTACAAAAATGCTGATCTAGCAACGAAGTGGATCACATGATGTTGGTTGATTTTGGACATGCAAGGCGCGAAGAACCAGAAAGAGACAAGAATTGCAAGGCCTCGCGAGTCAACCGAAACAACATGTAGCCGGAACACACTGATTGCAAAGTCCTGGCAGATTCCTTTGACAATGCGGTATGACATCAATGGGAAGAACTTGAAAGAAACACTACGTATCGAATTGAGGTTGAAACAACTACTTTTTGCTGCATGAACAAAACGCGACTGAAAGTTGCTCAAATCACACGCTCCATATCGCTCCATTGTATTCCATTCTGATCCATATAGAACTTAATTTTGGGGCTGCAGCAAGCCCGGGTTCATTGCCAAAGGCACTGAGCGCTGGTGGTCGCCTCAAGACATGTGGGTAACGCAGTGACACTGAGCTGGTGAAACTGCAGCGATGTGACACGAAAACGAAAACAGATGAGATCAGATGAGATCAGATGAGCTCTCTCATTTTGTGGAAAAAGAATCAAAACTGTCCCTCCACTTCAAGAACTTGGCCCGCCTCTTTGTCGGCACCATATTCAAGCAACAAACGCAGCACTTCCAGATGTCCGTTGCGAGCTGCCAAATGCGCTGCAGTGTCATATGTGTCGAATGTGGCCTTGTTGGGTTCCACTCCTGCCTGGAGCACAGCTTGAAGTTCGGATCTGGATCAATCTGGATGGATCTGGTTTGGGACGGGTTTTCCAGACATTGCAAGAAAGGTTAACGTTCAAACCCCAAAACGCACACATCTGGTTGAAACCTGTGGACTGAAGACTGAAGAATCTTATCGAGCAAAGTCTTTGCTCAAAGCCTGCAGGAGAATTCGCAGAGCTTCCACATGGCCATTGTCCGCAGCCATCTGCAAAGGTGTAGCCCCTCGGCCTTGCCAAACAAACAGAAACCAACTTTTCTTGGAAATATGCGGCATCGGCAAAGGCTCCATGTAAAATCACAAAGCGTTTCATGGAATTTCATGAGAAATTCGTTGCGTTGAGCGCATCAACATTCAGCAACTAGTTGCTGTAGTTTTTGATGGCAAACCCGCAGGATGACCGTTTAGCACCGCCATTAGACACGGCGATTTCAACGACGCCAACCAGCCTCCAACCGCTCTGTCTGGCTCGGCACCTGACAAACATCTGACAAATGTCTTACGTCTGACAAATGTTCACTATATTGACAGCTAGTTACCAACTTCCAACTGTTTTGGCAATGCTTTAAAAGGCTTTAAAGCAACTTTGAAGGATTTCCAGGATATTGACGGACTGCAAAAGTAATATGCTGGAAGCAATGTGAAAAGAAATGCTATGAAATGCTTCCTTATCAATATCCAAATGCCATCAAGAGCGATCTTTGAGTGTTGCCTCTTCACAGGACGTGCCTGTGGCACTTAACAGGCTTTCAGCGACAAACATTGAGCTGGAAAAAGGTACAGGTGTGGGAACACACGACAAAATCACAAAGTTGCTGAGAACCACAGTAATTCGTACAGTCACAAATAGACAATCATAGTCTGACACAGCAACCAACCACAGATGCTGAGAGCAGTTTCAGATTCACTTATATAAATGAATGTATGATAAGCCAAGCACATCAATTTCAAAAAAAATGCCCAGCGCGGTGACGCTGAGCAAGCCCATTTTTGGCTGTGTGACAGAAACCTGGGCCTTCACGACAAATGAATTTGGTACGAGTTCATGACAACAATGACTTGAACGACCTGTGCATAGTACAAGACCCAAAACCAAAAACACAACGTAAATCAACGATCATCAACGTGCACAACTACAACTCCAACGCATCTTGTCTTTGGGACTGCGCACCTTTCTCGAGTAAGAGCCGTAGAATCGCCACGTTTCCGGTGCGACACGCCATATGCAATGCGGTCAGGCGAGTGTCTGTCGTGCTGGCGTCTTTATCTGCTCCAGCTTCAATCAAGAGGCGTACCACCTGGGCCGAAAGGTGCGCCCAGAGGCGATCTGAGTCATGTCGAGTACTCTTTTTTGATACATAATGTTACATAGTTAGTACATAGTTAGTACATAGATAGTACATAGATGTAAATAGCCCCTATGCTCTAATATTTTCGAAATCAAGCCTATGCAGAGCCTACCCGGAGGTTTGTTCCCCCGAGGCCTACGCGAGGCTACGCCCATTAGAAGGTAGCCTACGAGGGGGATGGTGCACTGTCATGTCATGATGTCATGTAATTCTGAAGGGAAGCAAAGCATAAAAGATCATAAAAGCATAATCTTGCATGATTTTTCAATCACATGAAATAAGATACCAAAATATGCCAATATGATTATTCAATATGATCCAATATGCCAGCATGCGCTGGGTACAACAAATACGATACACCAATGGGTTTCATGATCACCTGCAAACCACAAATACGCATCCATATACGTCCCCAGTCATATATCATAATTAATCATACCGATGTTCTTTTTTCCTGTGCTCTTTGACGTCTTCGGGTAGACACTGGAAAAAAACTTTTGACTACTGGAAAAAAAACTAAGGTTCACCCCTACTCTCCACACTGGAAAAAACTTAAGACACTGGGAAAAAAAATAAGAATCTGTACTTTGAACCTTTTTGCAGCTGAAATCTCTTGTTTGTACAATATGTGCAGGGTTTGGGCACTCAAACATGCAATTGCATGAAATTTAAAGAGTTCTGGCCTTGAATAATTCAATTTTGTGCAGCTGAAATCTCTTGTTTTTTAATACCAGTAGTACCGCACAAGGCGGTGGCGGAAGTTTCAAAAATAGGAAACCTATAGGAGAGGTTGGTGGTTGTGAATCAGGGATGGCAGAGCGAAGCCACTGATGGACCGAAAGGTGCTTGACGTCTCCTCTCTTTCTCTCTCTTTCTCTGACTATCTATCTATGCATCTATGTATCTATGCATCTATGTATCTATGTATCTATGTATCTATGCATCTATGTATCTATCTATCTATCTATCTATCTATCTGTCTGTCTGTCTGTCTGTCTGTCTGTCTCTGTCTATCTGTCTATCTGTCTATCTGTCTATCTGTCTATCTATCTGTCTATGTGTCTATCTGTCTATCTGTCTATCTGTCTATCTTTCTATCTTTCTATCTATCTATCTACCTATCTATCTGTCTATCTATCTATCTATCTATCTATCTGTTTATCTATCTATCTATCTGTCTGTCTATCTTTCTATCTACCTACCTATCTATCTATCTCTCCCTTTCATCTGTCTATCTGTCTAGCTGTCTACCTGTCTATCTGTGTTGCAGTGTCATTCAGTGTAATGTAGTGTGGTGTAGTGTAATTTAGTGTAGTGGAGTGTACTGGAGCGTAGTGTAGTGTAATGTAGTGTACTGGGGTGTAGTGTAGTGTAATGTCCTGTAGTGTAATGTATTGAAGCGAAGCAGCATCTGAACCTCCAAAAGTGGTCCGAACCCCTAGTGTTTTGAACATTTTTACTTCGAAATGTCCTTCGCGCCAGAACGGCGTGCACTTTTTCGACATCCGAACCTCCAAAAGTGGTCCGAACCCCTGGTGTTTTTAACATTTTAACTTCGAAATGTGCTTCGCGCCACAACGGCGTGCACTTTTTCGACATCTCAACTTCCAAAAGCGGTCCGACGCTGAGGTGTTTTGTACATTTTGACTTCGAAATGTGCTTCGCGCCACAACGGCGATCTCAACTGCCAAAAGTGGTCCGGAGCTGGTGTGCTTTGTACATTTTGACTTGGAAATGTGCTTCGCGCCACAACCGCGTGCACTTTTTCGACATCTCAACTTCCAAAAGTGGTCCGACAATGGTGTGCTTTGTACATTTTGACTTCGAAATGTGCTTCGCGCCACAACGGCGTGCAATTTTTCATCTCTCATCTGGCCAGCTGGCTCCGCACCCGCCACTCCAGCGAGCCTACTTTTCGACCCTCCGGAGCCCCAAATCATTGGAAAAACACCGTGTTTCGCGACTTTCCTACCTTTTCTCGCATCTGCATCTTCTTTCTTCTTACTCTTTCTCTTCTACTCTTCTTTCTTCTAATCTTTCTCTTCTCTCTGCCTCTTCCCTTCTCTGCTTTTCATCTGTCCATATTGTCGGAAGTTTGACTTCTAAACTTCCTTCGAATATGTGCAGGGTTTTGGAACTTAATTATGCAATTTGCATGGTATTTAAAGCGTTTTGGCCTTGAATCCCTTGTTTGCACCGTGCTCGCAGCATCTTGGAGCCAGCATCTGTACTACGCAGGGGATTATCTGCAGCATTTCGTGTTATTTGCAGCATATTGTCTAGAGTTAGTTTTTGGATCTATTTCAGGTTGGTTAGGGTGTATTTGGGAGATCAAAGGATGAGAAGGGTAAAGGACCAGGATGAGGAGGGTAAGGGACCAGGGGATCAAGAGGACCCAGGGACCAGGGGACCAAGGGACCAGAGGAGGACCAGAGGACCAGGGGACCAGAGGACCAGAGGACCAGGGGACCAGAGGACCAGGGGACCAAAGGATCAGGGGAACCTGAAATTGTTTTTTCCAGGAAACTTAGATTTTCTTTCCAGTATCATCCCTTCGCTCATCCCAGATGGTACCTCCAAGCGACCTTCTTGAACAGCCAAATGCAGCGGCGTCGTTCTGTTCGCGGCCATCTTGCAGGGACGGTTTCCACTTTGAACATCTGAAACCGCACCGCCGCACACCATGCCATATCACAACATTCTCAATATTTCTCAATTACATTCTCAGCTACCGTTCAAAACATCTCAAAGCTATCTTCCAGAACCTCCTTGGGAACTTGAAAACTCCCCGCCAAAGTCCCAGCCATCATTGAAACCATTGGTTCTAACTCATACTTCCTTCTAGATATCAAATATTTGATGATATTTGTGATGTGTATTCCCAGCCTTGTCCTTGTCAGCGCCGAACTCCAGCAACACTTTCACCACCTCCAAGTGCCCTTGCCTCGCGGCCAAATGCAGAGCAGCGATGCCATTGTCAGTGGTCGCCTGTCGCACACGGGAAGTCATGGCATCAGCTGCTCAGACAGCTGCTCAACACGGCTCCGACATGTTCCGACGTGCACCGACCTGATCTTTCTCAGCACCTCGCTGCAGCAAAAGTCGCACAATTTCGGCATAGCCGTTCCACGATGCGCTTTGCAACGGCGTGGCACCGGACTCACGGGCTGCAAAGTTGACAGCGGCACCAAAGTCAAGCCTGAATCTGAGATAATCTGAGATGATCTGAGAACTCACAGCAAATGTCAATCTGTAGCTGTGGCTTGGTTGATTCGTCGATTCAACTTTGGATTGATTTGCTTCACAGCATTTCGGATGAAAGGATGCGTTGCAATGCAATCTGTCAAGTGCAAGCCCCAAAAGCACGTATATGTCAACCTGTCAAACCGTGCTGGAATCTTGCGTGCGGCTGACCACAAGAAGTTCCGAAAGTTGTCTTCAAAACAGCCAATCCTACATTGCTAACATCATATGCCGCCGTGGTAAATCCAAACGGGGCTGATGGGGCTGCAGTGGGCTGCAGTGGGCTGCATGGCATGTGCCAAGAAACAGAAAACGCACCAGTTCAATGTGGCCATGCCATGCTGCAAGGAGCAGAGGAGTCTCACCTGCATGGCCTGACACAGTAGCCATAGAAACAACTGGTACTTACTGAGCAAGACTTACATAATGTAACCTAGGAGAAACTACAAACTACATTCATTGGGGCTAAGCGGCTAAGATGCATCAGTGAAAGTAGATTCGTGCACAAAGAATCCCGGAATACGTTGGACAAGCTGACTGTGCAAACTGTGCAAAGTGTGCAAGTTTCTCAAGAGCTGTTGGGTCAAAAATTGTGCACGTTGGGCCCCAATGTGGGCCCACATTGGGCCAACGCACCGGCACACAGGGCCCGGCACACAGGGCCTGCGGGCACATCTAGCCGTGCGCCCTGCTCCAATAAGAAACGCAGCACGTCCAAATGCCCCTGCCGTGCTGCCAGGTGGACGGGGCAATCGCCGCCTTCCGTCGCCCGGTCTTTGTTGGCACCATGCTCCATCAGCAAACGTACCACGTCCTGAAAGATCTGAAAAGATCTCAGAGATTCCCGGAGATTCCCATTTCGTCGGATTTTAGAGAAACATGAAGACATCTGATTGTTGGAACACATTGGAACAAGAACATTGTGCAAAGATGATCAAAGATGTGCAAAGCAAATGCTCTTTGCAAATATGCTCTTTGCAAATGCGGCTCCAATCGTCCGTGAAGGGAAGCAACATGCAACGGAGTGGCACCATCAGTTCTTGCAGCATCTCCTTCAGCTCCCACATCCAATAAGAGCGTGGCTGCCTCCGAACAGCCGTTCTGAGCTGCATAGTGCAAGGGTGTGGCGCCACTGCTATGCCGAGGATCCTTCTTAGCTCCAGCCTCCAGCAACCTTGGAGCCAAATTTCCCAGCTTCCGACGAAGTCCACTGGAGTGCACCAACTGGCAATGTCTGTAGATATTATATTATATATATATATGTGCGGATATGTGTGGATATGATATGTACATATATAGGCATATATACTATATGTGGAGTCAAAGACTCTGGGCAGATTTGAGCAAGTCGCCCTAGAGGGATTCAACGGATTCAAAAAAAATGGTGTTGCCCCACCGGACCACAACCAACTTCTCACAAAGTTCAAAAAAATCCAACTCCAGAATCCAATATCCTGTCGCCATCTGTCGCCGGTCCAAAGATCATGAAGGATCCCAGTCATGGTCATAGAGTGGAGTATCATAGAGTAATAGAGAGACACAGATAGAACTATGATAGAACATATTAAACATAGTAATAGAGAGAGAGAGAGAGAAAAAAAAAAGAAAGAAAAAATTGAAATGCCTAAAATATATTAAAATATCCTAAAATCCATAACACCCTGGCCCTCGAGGTCGGGCAGCAATTGTATGCATGGCACACTTCCATCACCTGCAGCCAGGTGAAGGGCAACTCTGCCATCTCCATCTGCGGCGTTTGGATCTTGGGGGCCTTGGAGCGCTTCTTGGCTGCACCCTTTAGCACCAGCAGTAGCAGTAGCAGGATGTAGCAGGAACAGTTGTAGTTACTACATGTTACTACAGTAGTTCCAATACTACAGTAGTAGTTCCAACCGGATCTCCAACCATGAATACCATGAACATCACAGAAGAAACATAGAAAAAACATCCAAGAAACTGAAGACATTCGAAGGAAAATCATAAATCCATATAAATCCAAAGAACTTTGAAATAAATCCTGAAAGTTATCTGATATTCATCCCAAAGCAAAGCATGAGTCTTGCTGGGCGTCGTTGCAGGATCTCTTCCACTTCATCTAGCTTCCTTTCAGCACACGCCGTCAGGAGTCTCTGAACATCGTTGGGATCTGCAGGGTAAAAATCGAGGATCACCAATTGCAGATTCATCGGAATCACCACTGAAACCTGCACAACACAGCCAGAAAGGACAGGTCAAAAACTCTCAAAAGAGCAGGGATTACCAGGGATAACCAGGGATAACCAGGGAATATTAAACAGAGTGGAACATAGGCTCTGTTCATAGTTGCAACTGCCTTGGATTCTCAGCATGAATCATTTGGCTCCAATTTGTTTACAAAGAATAGCCCCAGATGCACCAAGAGTTTGCAGCAACTTCACTCCAGTAACGAATCCCCGGGAACCGAATACAATTGGCATGTGCCAAACGATCCTCTGGCAAATGCAATGCATATAATGCATGTTCCATCTTCAAATCTTCCAGCTCAAGCCACGTCATCTGCGAGCGCAGCGGATGAAACTTCGCCATCCGCATCCAACAATCTCAGACGAAACCTGGAGTTGCCAGGGAAGTACTCTTCCGACAGGAATATCTTGACAGCTCGCACCTGGCTGCAAAAAGTCAAAACCAGGCGTTGCCATAGCGTTCAACCCCGCTTGGCTGCACTTTCTTAGTAACCAAACATAACCAAACCCATTGCGTACATTCTTGGGACGCTTTGGGATAAAGGAGCCACAAATGGGGTCTGTTGCTTGCGAGCGCATGAAAAAGTCACCATGCTCTATCTGACACTGATGAGCGAAAGCAGCGATCGCCAGGGCATCCACAAAAATCATTGAAAAGTTCACCAGCGTCAAAGGATGTCAAAGGATACAGAGCATGTAATGAATTCCAAATGAGTTGACTGGGACCGAGATGACCAACTGAAGGCGGCAAATCAGGGCGCCAAGTTGCTGTGTCGCTTCCTTTGCTTTCAATCAAGTCCTGAAGCCTCGCAGCTTCTGTGTCTGCACGGTCCACTCTTAGCATATTAGTGAAAAGACTTTGCAGGAGAATTCGATGGTCAAAGCCAAGAAATGGACAAATGTGACTGACTCCCTGCTGAGAGCTAAGAGATTGAGTAAACATGATGACTGAACGGCCGGCAACTCAGTTTCGACCCCCCTATTGCTGCGAAAGGGGGTGAGAGAGGGGCAAGAGGGGGGCGAGAGAGGGCGAGAGGGTTGAATGAAAGAGCAGGGGGCGATAGGCGTGCAGGGAAGGTGTTAGGAAGGTACAAGGGGCTTGGGGTGCTGGGGGGGTCGCAAGAAAGGCAACAGAGCACGAGGGGAGGCGAAGAGGATGCCTTCAAGTAGAGAGGATACTGTCAAGGTCTTCAAACACTCTGACATTTGACATCCCTTCGAGCCTGTCAGCATCCAAAGCCACCACATCAGCACCCGAGGTTGCCGACAAAATGCGCAGCATGGCTGGCTAAAATGGGTCCCAGGATGTCGCAGGGCAGATGGGCCAGAGGGGGAGGTCACCATCTGAACCTAACTGCAAAATACTGCAAATGGCAAATGTATCGGGACAATTCTGCTACGAGTTGCCTTCCTAATGTAGCCACATCTGGGTTAAATCGCGACTGGCTAACATCGAGCCAAACGTCAACGATGCGGGTTCATGGTCAAGAACAGCAAAGTCTGGTTGACCGCATGACTTGCATTTTGAAATATTTTGAAGATACGTCGTGAAGTTGAGTCAGAAATTGGGTAGTTGCCCTGTGTTTGAGACATCCCATCACTATATAATGCGTTTATTCTGTTTATGTATACATATATAATACATATATATATATATACAATACATATATATATATATGATACATATATATATAATACATATATATATATAATACATATATATATAATACATATATATATATATAATACATATATATGTGTGTGTGTAACATTATGTGACTATCTCTGTGACTCTTGGGCCTGCGCGTTTTTGGGCGCTTCAAGCTTTAATTTGCATCAGGAGCGCATCGCTTTATGAGTTCTATGACGCTAGTATAAATACTGCAGGAGCACCATACTGTCTCGTGGCAAAGCCGGCCGACCATGGCAAGTGTTTCCAAGCATGTATCTAGCAGTCTAGCAGCAGTCTAGCATTGAAGTTTGACCTCATTGTCCAACTGTCCAGCGCACCTTGGTCCAGCTGCTGTGCTGTCCACCTGTGGTTGCCCAGGTTTTGGAGGCAACAGCAGTTCCACATGTTCTCAACTTGCTCAGCAATTTCACCGCAACTTTCTGGTAAAAGAAAACAGTAAAAGGTCTTAATCAGCGCATTGCCACAGAAGAGCACATCTTCAACCAAAGAACCAATGCATTGCTGCAATGGTCTGGTGGCACCTGCACCCATATCCAGCTCCCACCACCAGGCCACTGCTTCAACGACCTTCGGTTCGAATTCAGCGTTCTCCAGTGGTGTGAAAAATGTCAACGTCATCCACTCGGAAAACAACTGCTGTGACCTAATTTGTGTGTCTCCAAGATTGATCCGTTTCTGATCCCATGCTCTGATGCCTGTTCCTCTGCGTCAAAGTCCATATACTCAAAAAACACATAGATGTTACAACTGTTGCATGATTTTGCTATCTCAGAGTATCCGAAAAAAGTTTGGGCAATCCACACTCTGCACTTCCTCTTGGCTGTCGGGCTCCGGGTGACTCTATCTTCACATGCGAGGCGTGCGCACACGGAGTGCTGGGCCTGGGAGCCAAAGTGAGGCGTCAACAAAGTGAGCCCTGTTTTGGTCTCCACAACAAATATATAAGCAAAGTACAATCAATTAATATCAAATAATATCATAATATAAATATATATATACACACACATGGGATCCAATGCGTACCCGATTACTCCTGGTGTGACCTCTACTGTGCTCAGTCAAGTCTCAAGGTGGAGCTACCTTAGGAGTGACACCTGTTTGCACGCAGAAAGGATCGGAAATTCCCCCTCAAGGTTGCGATCTACCTGCTCAGCTTGTTTGATGCTAAAATTTCACGAGCCTAAGACCGTCATTGAAAACATGCAGCAAACAATGACCTCCACAAGAAAGCTGTCAGAATCATTCGGAAAAGAAAGTGAAAGCATCAGCTGCTCAGGAAGCCACAAGTTAGCAAAATCGATCGCGAAAGCATCCCAGACTTCCGAGTGCCTCATGAAGACCTTGCCAGTCTCATCCATGTGTCACAAGTTCATACAAGTTCCACAGGGTGTTTCTACTGGTGGGCCGGGTCCACAACATTTTATCCCGAGATGGTGAAAGAATGTAAAAGATGGTGACCGTTCCAAACCGAAGCGCTCGTGGCACAATTTCGACTCAGCGGCACCTCTTCAGCGCTTTGAGGATCGAAAGGCTTAAAGGGATCGAAACCTTGGCCGTGGCGACAGAGTGCGACACAACATCGCTCGGGAGTTACACGAACGGGGGAAATTGTGCAATATCAAGGAAAGATAAGGAAACTAAGAAAGCACGTCTTTCACCATCTTTCACCATCTTTCACCATCTTTCCTAGATGTGTTGCTGCAGTTGTTGCAGTTGCTGCAGTTGTTGCAGTTGCAGTGCAGTGACTTCAGTGGCGCACCCATCTGCCCCAGCATCATTGGCCACGCCGCGCCGCGCAGCTCAGGCAGATTGGCGCTGCCGAGCTTTGGGCCTAAAACCGGAACTGAGAAATCGAAAGAAGTCATGGGATTTCTCCGTTTCGGATTCGACATGATTTGACATATTTAATATAGATAATATATTATAATACATTATATATCTATATATATATATTGTAATATAAAACATTATGTGTAACATAGTTATATAATATCTCTATTTATAAATTGGGATTATTATAGTTGGGATGAAAGTGAGAAAAAAAAGGAGCGAGCAAAAACGCGAAAAGCTTGGCCTTGAAATGCCGTGAAACTAGGAGGAAAGCCCACCCAGAGAGCGTGGGAAAGTTGCTAGAATTGCAGCCAATGATGGATTGGCAGAGCTGGCCCACAAAATGCCCTTGTCTTGATGTGAATGTGCGGCAAATGTGGGAGGCTTCAAACCTTTCTGTCGACATGACTGTAGACGAAGAAATCCAATTTTGTCATCAAGTTCCAACAGATCTAACAAAAAGATTTGATCCCAGAGTCTCCATAGTCTCCTAGAGTTTATATCCTGCACGACAGACAGCACCAGGTCTCCATGCAGCTGACCAGAACAGCTCTGACCTTCGCCTAAACGCAGAATCCAAAGGGGTCAAAATGAGAAGGGTCAAAATGGTCAAAATCCATCGGCAAGAATTATTTTGTGTGTTTGAATCAGAAATCGGAAGGTCTTGGAAATCAAATGGATCGGATTTGGATCGGTGATTTGGAAGTTGGGACTTGGTGACTTCTTGGTCGCTGTCGAAGAATGGAACCAGTCTGCCGGATCCGGCCGAAGATCCTCGCTGTCGAATGTGGAACAAAACGTCACCGGGATTGCTTTGCTGTCAGAAACCAGAAACTGCTTGGTGACTGACTTTGCAACCGTCGCTGGTTCCGTCCAATCCACAAGGAGAATCTTGAAACGGATGAAATATGGTGAAATGCTTCGAAACGAGTGAGACTGACTACTCACCCTGCCCCTAGAATAGGTCTGACTAGGTGACTAGGTGACTAGGTGAAGTTGTGCGCACAGCGATTGTTGGATGTGATTTCATTTAAGAGCAGGCGGCCCTGTACAGAGACATTGCGCGTACTTCACATGTTTGTTTATGTTAATGTTTATGTGAATATGAATTAATATGACGTCATATTAATTAATCATCCAAATCATCCATTGCTCAACTTTGATATTGGGATACGATGCAAGGGGTCAGCGCTGGTACACGGTGACTCACCCTGGGGCCTTGCGAGGGATGAACCTCGGTGATGACTTCGACGTATGGCATGCTGCGGCATGCTACATGTTTCTTATTGTTTCTTGCCGGTGTGTCATATGTGTCGTATGTGTCATTTGATCTCTTGCTTTGTTCCAAATTTATTTTCTGATATTTTCTGATGCACGCAGGGGCTTACCTTTCAAACCAGGGCCAAAGTCATTGATGAAAATAGATTGTTGCTAAAGATAGCAGGGACAAAAAATATTGTTATTATTGTTATACTTTGGCAAACGGGCCAAGTCAAAAGAGTCGCCCACTCCAAGATCTTGCACTTCGTTGATGTCGTGCAACAACCTGTCCCAACATCTTTGGGGCCAGCGCACGCAATCAGATCTTAGAAGCCGCGCCTGGTGTCGAATTTGAGATTCTGGACAGCTCAAAAACGCATTGGTGTCTTCAGTGTCCCCATGTCAATGATATTGCCAAACTGAAGCGCCTTTAAAGGAGACCTAGTTTTCAAATTTTCTGATCCCTGCCATTTGTGACAGTACAAGCAAGGTCAAGCCAGCTCTGTCTTGGGTCATGTTGTTTCATGTTATTTCATCTTCCACCTCTGAAAAGAATCGTTTTGGTACCCTGGAACCAATGTGAACCAATGGCATACCTCATAGAAGACCAACCTTTGCACCAGTCTCGTGAAACAGTGAAACCTCCTGTGATCAAAAAAAATAAAAATGCACCTGAGCGTCCCTTAGGATGGGGATGATGCTCTCCTAGCGGAACAACCGAATGGCACCTAAATAGGATTGCAGGTGTACAAGGGCCGAAATATGCACATCAAACATGGACCCACAGATTTTCTGTCTATGGAACTATGTACTGGAATTTACTGCCCTTTCTCAGGTGTAATTGACGACCTGTGCAGTTGTGTCATTAGAATCATTAGGAAAATTGAGATTCTGTTTATTCTGTTTATGTTTTTTGTGCGTTCCTCTGTTCATCACTTCACTTCTTTCCCTGTTTCTTCTATTCACTGAGGTGCCACCGTCGTTTGACTAACAAACCCGAACGCTCAGGGCCCGAATCCCTTTCCATCGATATGGCCGGTTTATGTTTGATCGTGGAACCTCGAAGATCTACAGTACTCTCGATACAGCAAAAAAATGGTGTGGTTGTTTGAAATCCAATAAACATCCATAAACATCAATAAACACTATTCAATAAGAATATATAAGAATGTTTCACTGTTTCCGTAGTCTCCAACTGGAGCGCTGGACACTTGAAGCGCGTGAATCTTTCCAGGTAACATTTGCTGCTCCAAGCTGCCAAACTGCTGGATATCTACAAGATTCCTACAAGCATCTTAGTTCAACATAGACGACTGGGTGATCTGAGACATTACGGGTTTTTGATGGTTTTTGATGGTTTTTGGGGATGTGCATTGGATGTGACCACAGTTGCAATCCGTTGCAATATGTTGCAATAAAACACCTGTGCACATTCTCTACTGAAGTCTTCAAGCATTTCACCCTGGACCAGCTTCCATCAACCATCAAACCTTCCCCGGACTCGGCTCCCCCAGCAACTGTGAATCAAAGAGCTCAAAGACACAGAGGTCAGCTTTCTGCGGTAGATCCACTCCCACCTGCTCGACTTCACCATAGGTTCTCACTGGGTTTGGAGATGTGTGGAGCGGGGTTTTGTGAGATGCTGATATTTTGTGTAGAATTGTAGACAATTGTAGAACGTGGTATGTGGATGTATGTGGCACCAAACACAACTTGTGAGCACAATGGCAATGGATGTCGCGCCAATGTCGCGCAAAAATTGTCTACACTACACACTTCCCTCTGGACGTGAGACGATGTGGTCCAGGTCGAGAGTACAAATCAGGTCCAACATCCAAAGTATGATGACAAACCAAGACATCGCGTCGGAGTCACCCCAGCAAGGCAGTTGCATCGCCATTTCCGCGGTGTCGCCAAAAGCATCCAAAAGCCATTGATAAACCAGGATATTATCGGATAAGACCTTTGTATCCCACAATATCCCACAAGACCAAAGCCAAACTCCTGAGAGATCCGGTGTACCAGGTGTACCGGGTGTACCGGGTGTACCGGGTGTACCGGGTGTACCGGCCTCACCGGCCTCCAATTCGCTTGCGACTTTGTTCACAACCTGAGATCGAGGCCCGGGCCCATCGGACAAACCCGAAGGATCCGAAGGCCCATGGAAATCATGAGGCTGTCCATGTCAGCTTCGCTTAGCTTCGCTTAGCTTCACCACTGGCTTGCTTTATCTTGTTTTCGAAGTCCATGTCCAACCCATGAGCTTTCGCAAGTGTAACAGGAGATTACGCGAACTATGTCAACAGGAATGGAAGGCAGAAAGGTCACAAAAGCTACATGGAATCAACCAGATCGCCTGAACTTGTTCTGCAAGCTTGTTCTCTCTCAAGACCAGTTCGGCGACACGGGCACACTGATCATAGACCTGGTCAGAGTCCGGCTGGAGGCACGTTTGGATCGTTTTACGTACGTGCAATGATCGCAGACCAGTCCAAAGAAGCTCAGCTGAGTGTCACAATCTGAAATGCTTCGTGAGTCTGGATAGAGTCTAGATATGTCTAGATGAGAGAGTAGGGACAGTAGGGAGATGTGGGGAGTGACTTTGTCTCGTGTGAGTTGTCTTCCAGGTGTTAGATTTACAGCGACCTCGCAGGCAACAGCCTTGCCATCTCCGTGTGCCTCAGCTCACGACGCTCGCAATGCTCACACTGCTCACGTTAGGTTCCCATAATATCCCACAATATCCCATGGTATCCCATGGTATCCCATAATGTTCCATAATGTTCCATAGATAAAGAATTTACACTTCCATTGCATCTATGACTCTATGACAGTTTTGGCCCTGTGACGAGTCATTTCAGTATGGAATCAGATATAGGAAGCCACAGAATCCTGAATGATGGAATCGCGATTCTTGTCATTTACAATTGCTTGCTGTAACTGTAACTGAAATATTATATATATAATATATATATAATATATATATATATATATGTAAACGGGCGCGCAATCACCTATGTCACTTACAACAAACAACAAACAGTCTAAGATTCTTGAAGGCACTCATGGGATCGATTGTGTGTCAAATGGATATAGATGGCCAATGAGGGACTGTACAATCATAACAATCATACTGTACATACTTATATAATCTTATATACTCCGTATAAATCATGAAAGGCAAAATTGGACTGCTGGATCCCGCTGTTCAAACGACTTTGCTTCATTGTCAAATTGTGCAAGACTAGCAATTGGCAAACTGCTTCATATCTGCTTCATTGTGAAGCATTGTGAAGCATTGTGAAGCATTGTGCTGCACAATTTTGGGAACTCTGTGCTCGGCACCTTGCAGGCGAGCGCTGCAAGTAAGCCTGTGCCTGCGCCCAAATCCAACCTGGCGGAGCTCAAGGTGGAACGGAGAAATCTAAGAGCGCCACAATGCGCCACAATGCGCCACGTGAAAAACGTGAAAAACGTGAAAAACGTGAAAAACCTCATAAAATTGTAGGCAGAAGGATGCAGAAGGCATACCATGAAGAACGTCTTGCATTTAAATGTTTTCAACTCGCTACAAACTTGCAGGATTTTGCCTTTTGGCCGGGGAGCAAAATTTAACCTCCTCTGCCCTACGGAAATGGTGTTCAATGGTTTCAGCTATTTCCACATGATGCTCAAGATCAAGGTATTCTGCAAATCATCCCCAAATGTATTGGATTTCTGGATTTCATTTAATGTTGCATGAATTTGCATGAGATACGTTTGCTAGGATTCCCTCTAGACAAGACACCGAAAACGGGCCAAGAAGCACACGAGCTCAGGTTTCTTCGATGCTTTCAAAGCTGCAGCATAGGCCGTATTTCTGGCCATGGGATCAAGAATGCACACATGCAGAAAAAATGCGATGTTGCTCACAGTCAATTCAGATTGTGAAATTTGACAATAAAGTTTCAATAAAGTGAATAAAGTGAATAAAGTTGCTGCTTGTGCCTGCCCACATCATGAAGCATGCTGAGATATGACCTGAGACACTCAGCTGAGCTGTGGCATGGAGCCGGAGCTCTGACTGGTGGCTGAACCAGGCTGAACCAGGCTGAACCAGGCTGAACCGTGCTATGAGATCTATGAATATCTATGAATAGAATCCGGGTAGAACAGGGTCCCACAGGGTCCCACAGGGTCCCACAGGGTCCCACACGTGGAACCATGCAGCAGCACCGGGCCATCCAGACCTGTCAAGGTACCAAGTAGACATTGAACGAAAGCCAAGAATCGTAGTGCAAAGTGAGGCCGAAAGCGTAATGCCAAGAATTGTCCAGAGTGGCAAAACAATATGATACCTTCCCATAGATTCGCGATGTTTCGTTCATTTGTCACAATATTCTTTGACGTCCCAGAAAAGGATGTTTATGAGAAGAAGAAACAAAAAGAAAGAAAAAAAATGAAAAAATATCATAAAAAATCTTCGAATCTTTGAATCGAATCTTCTCTCAAAAGAGAGCAGTAGTGCCTTGTGTCCAGGCCATGGCACCGACCTCAAGATTTCTGCGCGATTCATATCGATTCATCGTCCATGTTTCTTACAATTTTGCTCCAATTTCAGCAATTTCAGCAATTTCAGCAGTCAAAAGATTTCAGTTTGTCCATTTTAAGCAGTTTTAAGCAGTTTGTATTGAAGGGAACCAGGAAATCACAAGTCATTACACGTCACTCAAATCTCAAAGTTGCATTTGTTGTTGTCCTTTTTCTGCGACCCTTCCCTTCGGCCAGGGTAGAAGGCCCTCTGCGTCATGAGAAACGCCAGCGGACAGAGCTGCTCGTCAATGCTTGGCGCAGTGAGGACCGAAGGAAACCTGCAGAGTTTCAACACACTGCAAGCGATTGCAAGCGACAAGTCAATCTGCAAGCGGAAGCAGACCATGTCAATCTGTTCTTTGGGCGAATCGTTGCGACTTGGCTTTCATTTTGTAAAGCTTCAATGATGTTCAAAGGAGTCGCGGGCAAACACATGATACAGTATCGTGTGTACTGTACACTTTTACATACATTCGTATGCATTATGTATATATAACGTGCAGACAGACATTGTCATAATTCGAAATCCGATGCTCATCACATCTAATTAGTCAACACACCCGTTGTCACCATGAGAATCCTTTAAATCCGAAGCCATTTAAAATTTAGGTTATGGAAATATGTTGAATTCTCTTTTACTGGTTGGTTGGAGATGTTTGTTATACCCAAGACAGTTCAGCTGCAACATTTCAGGCCTTGTGCACTTGGAGGCCAAGTTCGACATCTGGATCGAAACAAGTACCTTGACGTCTTTTGGTCACTCTTGGCGTCTCATGTTTTAAGGAAAGCTTCAAACTTGGACGAGTGTAGTTTTCTTGTCCCGTAACCTCTTAGAATTGTATTTCTTTGAGGTTATCGTAGCCGAGGCCATACCAAAAGGTTGAAAGCTCTTCAGATTCAGAAATCGTCCCTGGTTGTCATTTCCTATCATATTGGTCTCATTGATGTTGCCCAGAAAGCTGAGATTTCTATGTTTTAAATAACAACTGGTTTCTCATGAAGGGAAACTTAGACACAGTCAGCCAGTGCAAAAGCACAACACTTCCAGTGGGTCCGAACAAAAATACAGGTGTAACATCACATTGCAGGCTTCCAAAACAATCTAGAAAACCACTCTACATGTAGCTTGTTGCACCGTCCACTTTGAAGGTGGAAAGGTAAGCAGGACAGGGATTTCTTTGCTCTGTGGTCATTTGCTCTTGACTTGGACTGGGCTGCCTTGGAATTGAGTCTAGAACACATTCCCGTCAACCAAACAGCTTGAGGAATTGCCGGCTGAACTGCAACCAAAAAAAATGATGCCAAGAAATCTTACTCCGAGTCACTGCTAGAGCAAGGCATCTGAACTTGTTGAGCTTCTCCTCTCTTTATCCTAAACTCGCAGAGGTAGCACTGACGCCTGTGATTTCACTCTCATCGCAGTTTGCCCAGAGTTTCACATTTTGAAGTTTCCCTTTCTTCGCTGGCCAACCAAAGACATGGGTAGCATGATATGACACCATTCTGGGCTCTTTCAATGCAGATTCTGTGGAAAAACATCCCAAAATGTACTCCCACGGACTCATATCACAGTAGTTCAGCACCATGGATTCGTTGACACCCTGGCACTTGTCGCTGTCACAGTGTCGGAAGCAAGCAACGTACCCTTTCTCCGTACTTTTCTTATTCCGGGTAGCCACAAGGCCGTCCCAAAAGTTTTCCTGGTCATCCAAAGATGGACGTCTATCACACCACTCCACACTGATTTCAAATATTCTCTGAACAATGTTCTGTTTTCTACCACCTGCAACATAGTAGAAGCCAGTATTCGCTTTGATAGGCTCTTGATGATAGACTTCAGGATTGAGGTTCTGAATCTTTTGCCCTCCAGGTTCTATTTTGCGTCCATAGATGTATTCATACTTGCCAGAGCGGATCATGCTTCCCAAGCTCAATGAGGGCAAAAACGGATCGCTCTTGAAAACGTTGTCAGCATCTGAGAAAACAATGTCTAAGTTCGTCTCCCGCATCACATCCAGTACAGATCTGAGTTTGTTGCATGAAATCACCTTAAAGCCTACGGGTGAATTGAACGCCTCTGCCTTCTCCCATTCTTGACCAGTTGCCAAAAAGCTGCGTTCACCCAAGTGAGTCTGAAGTTCTTTGTTCATGGCCATTACCATCCAATCAAGCCCAAGCCTTGTGGCAAAACATTCCCAGTTGGTCAGCATCTCCAAGTAACCAGAGTTGGATGCCGTCAATAGCAAGACATTCTTCAACTCCGGAGCATAGCTCTTGTCTTTGTAAAGACCAGCATGCCGACGCAAGCGAACAGTCAGAGAATCGCCGTTCTCGCCAGGAACCAATTGGGTTGTTTCGCCTGCGCTTTCTGCACCTGTACTAGAAACCACATTGGTTGAAGTTGGCAAAGGAGTGGACGTAGACGTAGATGGAGTAGACGTAGTAACTTTGACGCCTGTGATTTCACTCTCATCGCAGTTCGCCCAGAGTTTCACATTTTGAAGTTTCCCTTTCTTCGCTGGCCAACCAAAGACATGGGTAGCATGATATGACACCATTCTGGGCTCTTTCAATGCAGATTCTGTGGAAAAACATCCCAAAATGTACTCCCACGGACTCATATCACAGTAGTTCAGCACCATGGATTCGTTGACACCCTGGCACTTGTCGCTGTCACAGTGTCGGAAGCAAGCAACGTACCCTTTCTCTGTACTTTTCTTATTCCGGGTAGCCACAAGGCCGTCCCAAAAGTTTTCCTGGTCATCCAAAGATGGACGTCTATCACACCACTCCACACTGATTTCAAATATTCTCTGAACAATGTTCTGTTTTCTACCACCTGCAACATAGTAGAAGCCAGTATTCGCTTTGATAGGCTCTTGATGATAGACTTCAGGATTGAGGTTCTGAATCTTTTGCCCTCCAGGTTCTATTTTGCGTCCATAGATGTATTCATACTTGCCAGAGCGGATCATGCTTCCCAAGCTCAATGAGGGCAAAAACGGATCGCTCTTGAAAACGTTGTCAGCATCTGAGAAAACAATGTCTAAGTTCGTCTCCCGCATCACATCCAGTACAGATCTGAGTTTGTTGCATGAAATCACCTTAAAGCCTACGGGTGAATTGAACGCCTCTGCCTTCTCCCATTCTTGACCAGTTGCCAAAAAGCTGCGTTCACCCAAGTGAGTCTGAAGTTCTTTGTTCATGGCCATTACCATCCAATCAAGCTCAAGCCTTGTGGCAAAACATTCCCAGTTGGTCAGCATCTCCAAGTAACCAGAGTTGGATGCCGTCAATAGCAAGACATTCTTCAACTCCGGAGCATAGCTCTTGTCTTTGTAAAGACCAGCATGCCGACGCAAGCGAACAGTCAGAGAATCGCCGTTCTCGCCAGGAACCAATTGGGTTGTTTCGCCTGCGCTTTCTGCACCTGTACTAGAAACCACATTGGTTGAAGTTGGCAAAGGAGTGGACGTAGACGTAGATGGAGTAGACGTAGTAACTTTGACGCCTGTGATTTCACTCTCATCGCAGTTCGCCCAGAGTTTCACATTTTGAAGTTTCCCTTTCTTCGCTGGCCAACCAAAGACATGGGTAGCATGATATGACACCATTCTGGGCTCTTTCAATGCAGATTCTGTGGAAAAACATCCCAAAATGTACTCCCACGGACTCATATCACAGTAGTTCAGCACCATGGATTCGTTGACACCCTGGCACTTGTCGTTGTCACAGTGTCGGAAGCAAGCAACGTACCCTTTCTCTGTACTTTTCTTATTCCGGGTAGCCACAAGGCCGTCCCAAAAGTTTTCCTGGTCATCCAAAGATGGACGTCTATCACACCACTCCACACTGACTTCAAATATTCTCTGAACAATGTTCTGTTTTCTACCACCTGCAACATAGTAGAAGCCAGTATTCGCTTTGATAGGCTCTTGATGATAGACTTCAGGATTGAGGTTCTGAATCTTTTGCCCTCCAGGTTCTATTTTGCGTCCATAGATGTATTCATACTTGCCAGAGCGGATCATGCTTCCCAAGCTCAATGAGGGCAAAAACGGATCGCTCTTGAAAACGTTGTCAGCATCTGAGAAAACAATGTCTAAGTTCGTCTCCCGCATCACATCCAGTACAGATCTGAGTTTGTTGCATGAAATCACCTTAAAGCCTACGGGTGAATTGAACGCCTCTGCCTTCTCCCATTCTTGACCAGTTGCCAAAAAGCTGCGTTCACCCAAGTGAGTCTGAAGTTCTTTGTTCATGGCCATTACCATCCAATCAAGCTCAAGCCTTGTGGCAAAACATTCCCAGTTGGTCAGCATCTCCAAGTAACCAGAGTTGGATGCCGTCAATAGCAAGACATTCTTCAACTCCGGAGCATAGCTCTTGTCTTTGTAAAGACCAGCATGCCGACGCAAGCGAACAGTCAGAGAATCGCCGTTCTCGCCAGGAACCAATTGGGTTGTTTCGCCTGCGCTTTCTGCACCTGTACTAGAAACCACATTGGTTGAAGTTGGCAAAGGAGTGGACGTAGACGTAGATGGAGTAGACGTAGTAACTTTGACGCCTGTGATTTCACTCTCATCGCAGTTCGCCCAGAGTTTCACATTTTGAAGTTTCCCTTTCTTCGCTGGCCAACCAAAGACATGGGTAGCATGATATGACACCATTCTGGGCTCTTTCAATGCAGATTCTGTGGAAAAACATCCCAAAATGTACTCCCACGGACTCATATCACAGTAGTTTAGCACCATGGATTCGTTGACATCCTGGCACTTGTCGTTGTCACAGTGTCGGAAGCAAGCAACGTACCCTTTCTCTGTACTTTTCTTATTCCGGGTAGCCACAAGGCCGTCCCAAAAGTTTTCCTGGTCATCCAAAGATGGACGTCTATCACACCACTCCACACTGACTTCAAATATTCTCTGAACAATGTTCTGTTTTCTACCACCTGCAACATAGTAGAAGCCAGTATTCGCTTTGATAGGCTCTTGATGATAGACTTCAGGATTGAGGTTCTGAATCTTTTGCCCTCCAGGTTCTATTTTGCGTCCATAGATGTATTCATACTTGCCAGAGCGGATCATGCTTCCCAAGCTCAATGAGGGCAAAAACGGATCGCTCTTGAAAACGTTGTCAGCATCTGAGAAAACAATGTCTAAGTTCGTCTCCCGCAACACATCCAGTACAGATCTGAGTTTGTTGCATGAAATCACCTTAAAGCCTACGGGTGAATTGAACGCCTCTGCCTTCTCCCATTCTTGACCAGTTGCCAAAAAGCTGCGTTCACCCAAGTGAGTCTGAAGTTCTTTGTTCATGGCCATTGCCATCCAATCAAGTCCAAGCCTTGTGGCAAAACATTCCCAGTTGGTCAGCATCTCCAAGTAACCAGAGTTGGATGCCGTCAATAGCAAGACATTCTTCAACTCCGGAGCATAGCTCTTGTCTTTGTAAAGACCAGCATGCCGACGCAAGCGAACAGTCAGAGGTGTTGAAGCTGTCAACGGTGTCAACGGCTCAAGCTCAGGAGTCTCCTGCAGATGCAGTGGCACTCGTGACTCTACTTTTTCCTACGTATCTACATCCACATGTTCTATCAAGGTAACAAACCGGCAGACCTGGTATTTAGTCTCCGATATGAGGGTGCTACTTTCGAGATATGCTTGAAATGTATTCCATATTATTCCATAATAATTTCATAATGTCTCGAAAGGATTCCCAAAAGAACAGCCGGGCCCAGGCCAACCTGGTCAGTGAAGCCAAAGCCTGGCACCAACGCCATGCGATGGCCATGCGATGGCCATGCAATGGTGAGATGGGCTGAGATGGGCATTGATGCGTGCAACGCGGCATTTGCCATGCAACGTGTCTTTAGTCCTGGCATTTCTGGCATTACAAAGTTCTTTCCTTTGGAATGGTCGAGTTGGTGTGGGGCCACAAAAGCTGAACTGGCAAAGATTCACTGGCGTTCTATTGAAAGATCAACTTAGAGGAAACATATTAGAATGTCATACAAGTCTTATGCCGAAGAAAATGTGCCTCAAACTCAATTCATATGGGCCTTTTGGCAGGGTCTCTTGCACTACTCGTTTGTCACTGGCGCCTCCGATGATCAGGTTCATGTACGACGGGAGCACAACTTGTTCCTGCTGATGTCTCAACTGCTTCATCTGGGGAAGAAACAGTAGAGTTCCTGACAGCAGCCTTGGTTTCAAGGAGCAGTAAAAGCAGTGCGGGCAATGCAAAAAGCGAAGGACTTTGCGATACAAACGATTATGATTACGACCTTCCAATTTTCTGTCAATACTTTTTTTTGAATTCATCACCCGAACTTGAGCCATGTAGAAAATGATGTTGTCCTTTGCATCTTTCACCAGCTCCCACTCAGATTTGGAAGTCAAAGGCATCAGGTAGTGAGGTCTCTTGTGAAGTCAAAAAAAATGATGTCTTGGTCGTCTTGGTCCATACCAAATCCGCAATCTGCAAAACCTATGATCCTGAGATCCTTGGCCAGTTCAGGCCAGAAGTTCTTGTCACTGGACAAGCTGAAACTTACATCACTCAATTCCTGGAAACTTCCTGAAAGGCTTCTACCTTCCTGTCGTAGGTCAGCTATGGTCCATGGTTCAATATGTCTCAATCCTCATTTTCCTGCCAGTACACGATCCCGCTACATTGTCACTACATTGTCACTACATCATAGCTGCCATAGCTGCCATAGCTGCCATAGCTGCCATAGCTGCCATAGCTGCCATAGCTGCCATAGCTGCCATAGCTACATCGCAACCAAGCTGCAGGGCCAGAACCAAACAAAATCGCCTGCGGGCCAAACGACACGCACAGCCCATGGCTCCAACGTCCAAGGCAGCGCCAGGCAGCGTCGGGCTACGGTTTCAGCGGTTTCAGCGGTTTCAGTCTCAGCTCGTCTCAGCTCGTCGGAAAAAGATGGGTTTCTACTCGTGTCAAATCGTGTTTCAACGGAGCTTCCACTGAGGTGTACAACGTCTTAAGCAGCGCATGATGTACTTTGTAAATCTTTGTAAGGTAGCAGGTTGAACGGATGCTGAAGTTCTGGCAGACAAAGAATCTGGTCATATGCAAATAAAATGAGGACATGAAATCACTGTCTGTTCTGTCTGTTGTCTTTTCGTCTTTTCACCTACGCTGAAGAGTCTGAAGAGTCAAGGGATGTCAAGGGTTGGTGAGTCGCGTGGAATTTCAGCAAGTCAACAAGCTACGCCGCTACGCGGCGACATGACCAGTCCGGCCTTGCAACAGCGCTTCCATGCCGTTCCAGCAACGTATGGAAGAACGCACTGACAAAACAAAAACACCCAACATGCCCAACATGCCCAACTTGGATCAAAAAGTGGAGAGCTGATCTATGACGCTACATCCGATCAAGATGAAGAGAAACAAGTGCGAAGTCATGCAATTTCAGTGTGTCAGGATTGAAGTTGTCGTGTTCCTGGTTTGTGATCTTGTATGATCTTGTTATTTCTGTTATTATATGTATTTATATGTCGTTTAACATCGTTTAACCATTTAAGCGTTTAACTTAGGTTAGGTGATCACGATATCCGATATATCCCGAACATCCCCATAAGATCATGGGTTTGAGCCCTGAGTCCACTGAGTCCACTGAGAGCACTGAGAGCACTGAGAGCACTGAGAGCAAGCGGTTGGGCAACATATCTGTTGGATCTTTGATGATCTTTGTATCTTTTCTCCATTCATTTTGATTCATTTTGTATCTGTATATCTTAGGCTTTTCGACTTTGGAATAGAAAAGCAGATTGTTAGATTGACAATATCCAAAGCAGCCCTGGAATTGCAACATGATTTTACAACAGAGCCAACCAGTGATTTCATCATTGGAGGCGACCCAAACCCAAGCCGCTTAACCCAACAACTCCGAAGCTCTTCTAAAACTTTGTCAAACTGAAGAACAAGGCCACCAAAGCAAGAAGGCATCGCTTCGAAACAACAGCACAAAAATGCAGGGTACAACAAAAGAGCATATGGAGCAGTTTCAGAGCCGTCAACATCGACATTTCGACATTGACCCGATCAGCACAGAGATTTTTTCGTTTAGAAGAAAAGAGCGAGCAGATGCTTCTTCTCCTAGGCCCATGGCCGCCATTGGCCCAAGTGGGATTATAGAATGGGGATGAATTCAGTACATGTTGAGAACCTGCTGTAACCTGCTTGAGCAGTGACGTATGTTTCTACTGTTTCTGAGATTTCTCACAGGTCAACAGGAAACTCTGATTTGGGCAGAGACTAAATCTTAGCGCAGCTATTTGAAACAAGTCGTGACTCGAAGTCTCTGTTCTTGTCCTACTGGTGAGATAAGGCAATCATGCCAGACATATGTTGGTCCCACTTCAGAGAAATGCTCATCTTGAGATCCTCGGCCATTGAATCTATGGATATCTATGGTCTATGGACTACCTGGTGACTACCTACAGTAAGGTCTCAGTACCCATCAAACTCTTGCCAGGGCACTTCGGTCAATGCGTCTGCGTGATAAGCCTCGGATACAGCCGACGATCCCAGACGTCTCACAACACATGGCGATGCGGCGTTGACAGGTCGAGACACCGAAATGCCCTGAACAAAGATCCCAGTGCCTCTGCAGCAACAGAACCGGGATGAATTTCAAACAAAGTCATTGCAACTGTGCCAATATGAAGCAAGTGTAAGCATACATGAGCAAGTATGCTGACTATGCTGTTTATGCGATATTTGTGCTTGTTGATTAGCCCATGTATGATGCCAGCTGTTTCTGAAGGAAAGGAACTGCGCCTGCTGCCAGCACCACCAACGAGATTGGGTGGTTGAATTCTGCAAGGATTGCGATGAGGAAACCGATGACGTAGTGGTGGAGGTGAACTTCCACATTCGTTGTGGTTGCCCTTAGGATTCAGGCACTGAATCTGTCTGTTGGGCAGAAGGGTCAAGCCACAACATGGGTGTGGAACAAAAGAAGAGAACCATCCAATCTATGCATGTGGAAGACTGCATGGCGGACAAAATTACTTACTACTCGCAATGGACATGGCAAAAGTGGGTGGTCCCCTATCCGTTGTGAAGGTTTGTACTTCCATGCTATGTGCAAAAATAGGATATCGGATATCGGTAAGTGGGTGGTCTTGTGAAGGTTTTCACACGAATTTGAACATCCCAAGTCCACTCCCTACATCTCCCTACTACTTTAGTCTTCCGCTAGTTTTGTTGGTTAAACGGTTACTCATGTGTCGACATCTGTGATCTGTGTCTGTGTCCATCTTGGCGAGTCAAGTCACGCAATATAGAGATAGACGCCATAAAAGATCCAAATGGACAAGCGGCTGCCGCTGTAGGCCAGGAAACCTGGGAACAACATTTCGACAGGATTCGATGATTCGGTAGATCCTGCGGATGTCACGAGTCTGCAGTCACTTCATGTCACTTCAGGTCGCCTGAGATCTGGTTGTGCATAAAGGCGCAGTAGAAATGCCACAGCAGCAAAAAGGCGGCAGCTGCTCCAAAGGCCAAACCTGAGCGGCTCCAAAGACAAGAAAACGATGATATATTTGAACACTTCTTGAACGAAATGAGCAAGAAAAACATAGAAAAACTTATCTGAGATTAGATTGATATTGATTACATTTGATTCCCCGGTTAAACTGGTAGGAGTTTGCAGGGCTACTTCATCACTTGCCCTCAGTGCATTCACAGCACTTCCAGATGGAAAGTCCTCGAATCCTGGGAGATTTTCTGAGTGAACCACATAATGACTATGAGAGGAGACTGAGGGCCTGGGGGCGATTTTCCAACCATCCTGGTGACGGCTCCCCTTATCCTCCAGTCTTCTCACCATTTTTGCCTCTGCTAGGTCTTTGCTCACTGGCTATCGGACATCCTACCATGTTATTGACATCAGCAGCTCCCCAAACGCCACATTGTCTAAAGTTTGACCAGGCACCGATCAAGACGTTGACAAAGCTCTCTTCAAAAAAGCTGGAAGTGAAAGAAATCCTCGAGTCCCAACTGCACAAGAGTGCACAAGTTGTGCCAATTGCACAGTTGTGCCTGTTGATTGACCTCTCACTGAAACTGCTCCACTCACTGGAAGCAACACTGCCATTCAAGTTTGCCAGTCCTCGAAAGGGAGTCGATCGTGTCCAAAGAACCCCAAACCTAACAAGCTGTGTCGACTTGTAGGGTTTTGTAGGGTTAGATTCGGTTAGATGTTGCTGTGTCAAGTTCGTGGAATTCTCCAGGATCTCTGATACAGGATCGATTCAACGTTAGACAAACCAGGATGATCAGGATGAACCTATAGAATTCCTGGCCAAGGAGAGCTTCACAGTCGTTGTCTGCCGTTTGTTTCACAGTTGTTGTGCTCATTGTCTGTCGTTGAATCGGTGAAACCTTCGTTGTGTCTAAACCTTTCAAGTTGCTGGTCCACTGACGACCATCACCAGCAGGAAGGCGATGCCCCGTGGCCTGGGACCCTTGAAGCAGAAGAGGTAGGCAAACCTCGCGTTGATTCAACGTTGATTCAACGTTGATTCGACGTTCGTTGAAATGAGAAAAATCCTCCAGAATCAGACTGAATCCTCCAACAAAGTGTCCCAATCATGAGATAAGACGTACAAAACACTTCGAAACATGAAACTGATCATCCAACAACTCATCCAGCAGATGCAGCAAAAGCGAACATGAATCAAATGCATTCAAATGCTGTTTGAAACACTTTGTGATGCTGCCCTGGAAACGCTCACAATAACTGCAAACAGTTCTTCAACTTGACTCACAAGTCTGGAAGCATTGCATACTGCATGGTAACATTGTGCAAATGTTACAGGCACCGATCATATCATATCATGTCATTGACACAATGTCATATCATATCATCTTTGCCTATCCCCTTGATATTTTACGCGCATGGGATGTGTCCGTTTTGCCAGCATCCACACAAACTTCAAAGCAAAGCAGCAGACAAGCACAAAATGGAAGTATCGTGCACTGTTGTTGAACCGATTCAAGACTGGTCATGTCAGTGTTATTTCCGATATCTGGACCTCAGGTCACAAGCTGCATCTGAGGGGCCGATCTGGCATGTGCACTCCAGTCAAAATGGCCAGCATGAAACCCATCATGAACCTGACATGGAAGACATGGAAGACATGGAAGACATGACTATGATCCAGGTTCGGGAGATTTGCCGCAAACAAAAAGCGTCCTAAAAGGTGCCGGCTCCAAATGGCTCGCAATTGGAGCAGTGTTACCCCGGTCACCCAACTGCCTGCCAGTCAGATTTTCAATAGTTTGACCCCTAAAAAAAAACAAAGTATGTCTCCGTATGTATCGCTATGTGGCGGTTTTTTACACAGTCTTAAAATACTTCGAGGACGGCTTTACTCGGCACCCCACCAGTCAGTGATTCTTATTCTTCTTATCTCACATGTTCCTGCTCGCTCTGCCTTGTCCCATCATAAAGGCCAAGTAGCATCACCTGAAGGTCGAAAATGGTGTCGAGGTTGCCATGTGGCTTGCAGTCTCGAGGAATATCAAACCTTGGAGGCAGCCATTTGTTCAAATCACAAAGGAAGCCACGAAGCATAGTTACATACATAGTATATACATTATATACTGTATTTATCAACAACCCTGCTAATTATATGTATCTATATGTATCTGTATTTATATGATTTTATATGATTTTATATGTATTTATATGTATTCGCAAACTGTAATCATCAACCACTGCTACTGAGTTTACTGTTTGCGGCATGTAGACTCTGCACAAGTATCCGATGAAGGCCATAGGCTGACGAGTAGCTGGCAAACAATTCGCACCACAATGTACTCCATCACAAGAAGCAAATACCAAACGGCCAAGGAAACATATTGCCTGCAAGCTGCCCAACTGCATGAACAATCTGCAGAACAAGGAGATATACAAACAACATCAGAGCGAAGATGAAAAAAGATGAAAGAAGTGTGGTTTCATTCATGATCTTTCATGATCTTTCATGATCTTTCATGATCTTTCATGATCTTTCATGATCTTTCATGATCTTTCATGATCTTTCATGATCTTTCATGATCTTTCATGATCTTTCATGATCTTTCATGATCTTTCATGATCTTTCATGATCTTTCATGATCTTTCATGATCTTCCCCATGACATTCTCATCCCATGATCTTTCATCCTCATTTCTGATCTTTCATGATCTTTCTTTCATGATGGCATGATCTTTCGATCATGATCTTTGATCTTTCATGATCTTTCATGATCTTTCATGATCTTTCATGATCTTTCATGATCTTTCATGATCTTTCATGATCTTTCATGATCTTTCATGATCTTTCATGATCTTTCATGATCTTTCATGATCTTTCATGATCATGGATCCATGATCCTCGACCTCTCAACCTCTCGACCTTCAACAAATCGATGGACACGCAGCGGCGTGCCTCCATGGCACCCGGTGCCCATGGCGGCCATCATGGCCCAGATCCAAAAAACTTTGCCGGGCCTCAGCAGACAGCAGAGATCAAAGAAATCATGCAGTACTGCAGGGAGGGCACTGCAGGATGTTTCCTTTTTTTGACAAAGAATCAGTGAATCACATGAAGTAACGCGATTCTGCTGGTCGCAAAGCAAGTTGCATCAATTTGCTCTGTTTCAAGACCTTAACTTTTGCCGGTTTATTGTCCATAGTCCATAGCGACTCGTGGTATAGAACGCTCTCCTATCCTTGGACCAACCTTCTACCCAGGAGAGCAAGATGACAATGTCCTATGCTCACCCTAAGTTGATCAAATCGAATTCGGACAATTCGGACTGCTCTCTAGGGTTATGATTCAGTTATGATCAAAAACAATGAAATTTTGCTGCAATCTCAAGCCGTCACCGAGTGAGACCAAGAAGATATTGTGCAGCGGTTGCCTCTGGTTCCAGTGCCAAGCAGCTTCATCTCTTGGCGCCTCACCGACACACATCCCGCATGCCACATGTGACATGTCTTGTGAATCAAATGAATCAAATGAATCAGCAAACTTGTGGCGACTTATGGCGAGCGGTGCAGTGACTCGCGGTAGCCTCGGTCTCCACTTGCAGCGGTGCGTTGAAGGGCAACGGTGGCGCTGCGAAGGCGGAGGGTCGCGCCCAGGCGAGCGGGCGTTGCATGGGGTCCCAGGTGGGCGGGCGTTGCATGGGGTCCATCACAAGCTGCCGCTGCCACGCTGCTGGCCCTGCTGGCCCTAGCTCCACTTCCATCCACAGCAGCAACCCAGTGTCAATTTGAAATACTTTGAATACAAACCCCAAACGAATTCAAACTCGTCTACAGGTACCCTTTGAAAGATACAAAGCATGCGGATTAACAGCTGAGCTCCAAACCTGGTGAATACACTTTTGTCACTTCTACAAACATCTATATACTGGTAACTAGTAGCTGAGGTGAGCAAGTAACGGCTGCATATCAGTCAATGTATCTTGTTTCCTTTTTGCCGACATCTATGCACTCTATCCGTACAGACACACGTGACATGCAATGTTAGCTGCACTTCCAAAAACAAAGGACAGAAATATGATGAAATATGATGAAATATGATGAAATATGATGAAATATGATGAAATATGATGAAATATGATGAAATATGATGAAATATGACTTGAAATATGAATCTAAATATATCTAAATGATATAAGGATATTAAAGGAGCGACAACAGCGAAAATCTAAGCCTTCAATTGGAACTCAAGGAACCAAAAATAGAGGAATCAAATGGGCACCTGGAAGGAACCACTGTGCACGATGCAAAAGATTTCAGCCAAATCAAATCGGAAATCACAATGAAATCAATGAATCACAACATTTTTGAACTGCAGGCTGCAGGCTTCACCACGTCCCATGCGTGTTCTGCATGGTGTTCTGCACGGCGATATTTTCGTTGTATTTGAAGGACCTGGAAACTGTGTGAAGTTTTGACTTTGATGATCGTATTGATCGTTCGCATCCATCAACGTCCATCAAATCAGCCATGATTTCGATGCTGAAATCGACAGCATCTCACAGTGTCATCATTGCCAACAACTTCGCCGCTGGCTTTCCTGAGGCATTGATGGGACTGAAAGCAGCAAGGGGCAAAAATGGGCAAAAAAAACAAATCTAAAATGTCAAAAGGAAAAACCTTGATTTAGGTCCTTCAGGTGGTGACTGTTTGGATCCATTTGGACCTGTTTGGATCTTGGTGTCTTTGAGCATGTTTGGGTCTCTGAGTGGGGCATTGGGACAGGTGAAATCGATATGCTGAGGATGATGCCAGTCGCGCCGAAGCCCTTGTACCTTTTCGAGAGGACCAAATTTCAAAGGAGCGTTGCTTGAGGATTCAGGATATGTCGCATTACTAAAGAAAAGAAAGGATGGTGAACTGATGTGAACAAGAGAAAGAACAAGGTTTTGCAACAGATGGGGAGGAACATTTTAATAGCGTCCTGGGTAGCATAACAACAAAGATCAGCAAAGTAAGCCTTGTCTTTTCAGGTTCCAGCTCATGGATCCTGTCCAGGGTTGGAGTCTGTCATTTCTAGGTTAACTAAGTTAAAAAGAGTTTAGTGAATTTACTGAGTTTACAAGTAGTATCTAGGTAGTTTACTGAGTTACCTGGAAATGACGGATAACAGGGCACGCTGTCTTGAGCCTTTCCAACGTCAACTTCTGCAGCTCCTGGAATTGCTTTGTCCTGCGCTCACGACCGGCGACCGGCTCCAGGTGAGGTACAAAAGGAAAGTCTGGCGTTTTGCTCGTTTTGGGCAAAGCGGCAAAGTACGGCAAAGTGGCAAATCAACGAAATCAACGAAGCAGCATTCGAATCATTCGAGCAGATTCTCAACACAAAACTTCTATGTTTGATTTCTGCTAGTGAGGCCAAGGAGCTTTTCTCGTGCTTTATCTTTCTCTGCTAAAGCCTCAGAGGGAAAAACTCTTTTATTGATGAAAAGTTGATCAAATAAAACCTCGAACAATGAAAGGTGAACGCTGCTAGGAATTCTCTTTGTCATGTGTGATGTGTACTCGTGGAAGAAAAACAAGTGCAGGGCTGCCAAGTCTTGGAGTACCACAATGATTTCATGTTTGACAAAGTGTGACAAAGTGTGACAAAGTCAATGTCTCAATCTCCGCAGTCTCCGAACTCTCCGGAGTCTCCGGCCATATTGCATGTTGCCAGTCCCCATAGAGCTCGGAGGTTCATCTCATCCAGGTAGGCTGCCATGCTAAAGTACCTTGGCGTGGCTCGGATGTGGTGAGCAAGTTCTACGATTTGCATCGATTTGCACTGCCGTCTTCTAATGTTTTCTCATGTCTTCTCAGCAATTGAGACAATTGCCAATGACCAAGTTCAATAGCCCCATTCTGCCCATTCCTCAACAAAACATAGGGCTCCACACTTTCTGCTCGCTTCGAAGTCACCAACTGAGTACAGCAGCTCTGCGTAAGTCAGAATTGTGTACCTCGAAATCTGCAATGTCTGTTGGGTCCATGCTGTCGCGTGGTTTCGCATGGTTTTCCCATGTTTCCCAATGTTTTGCACGCTGGTGAGGAATGCTCCCAAATCTGTTGTCGGTTGCCACACCAGTAAGCGGAAGTAACCAGATACTTACCAGTGTTAAGTTTCGTCGTTGATTTCCACAGTGTTCGAAAATAGGTCCAAAGGTCAACTAGCAGAGTTGGCAGGGTCACATGGAGCGAGGATTGTGCACAATCATCTCTTCAAAGCAAAAAGCTGCTCTCTGCAAACTTCCAACCTCGCCAAGGACTAGCCAAAGATGTTATGCACATTACAAAGCCATGTCTTGCAAATTAGTTGCAAGGCAAATTGGGCGCAAGAGCACAGAACACTTGAATCAAGTTGTCTGACAGTGTTCGCACCAAGTTGGAGAAAATGATCTCAGGTGCAACAGTGCAAATATCCAATGTATGTATATTTACATAAATAAATATACAAAAATACATAAATACATCTATACATCTATACAGCTATACATATATACATATATACATATATACATATATACATATATACATATATACATATATACACATATACCTATATACATATATACACATATATACATATATACATATTTACATATATACATATATACATATACACATATATACGTATATACGTATATACATTTTTTTACATAGATACATATTTACATGTATATATGTATACATCTGTAAATGTATACATATGTACATGTAATTACATTTAAATGTGTATGCATATATATACAAATATATATATACATACGCACATATATATATACACACATACATATACATATTATATATACACATACATACATGCATACATACCTACCTACCTACCCACCTACCTACCTACACAGACATGCATACATACCCTACATACATACATGCATACATACATTACATACATACATTACATACATACATAACATAACATAACTTTATATAACAAAACCTTACATTACATACATACATACATACATGCATGCATACATACATACATATTTATAGACGTACATACATACATACATACACACATACATACATACATACATACACACATGCATGCATGCATACATACATACATACAACCATACCATACCATACCATACCATACCATACCATACACTATACTACGCTACGCTACACTACATACATACATACATACATACATACAACATACACACACATACGTACATAAATACATACATACATACATACATACAACCATACATGGATACAACCATACATACATACAACCATAAATACATACAACAATACATACATACAACCATACATACATACAACCATACATACATACATACAACCATACATACATACATACAACCATACATACATACATACATACATACATAACAACCATACATACATACAACCATACATACATACAACCATACATACATACATGCATGCATGCATACATACATACAAATTTCATACATACACACATACACAACATAAAATAACATAACATAACATAACTTAACATAACATGACATACATACATACTTACATACATGCACACATACATACATACATACATACATACATACATACATACATACATACATTACATGCATACATACATACATACACACACATACATACATACATACTTCAATACATACATACACATTCATACATACATACACTACATACACTACATACACTACATACACTACATACACTACATACACTACATACACTACATACACTACATACACTACATACACTACATACACTACATACACTACATACACTACATACACTACATACACTACATACATACATACATACATACATACATACATACATTACATACATACATTACATTACATACATTCATACATACATACATACCATACAATACCATGTCATACAATACAATACAATACAATAATATACAATACATACATTACATACATTACATTACATACTTTACATACGCAGCATACATAACATACACAACATACACAACATACACAACATATATTGCATACATTACATACATTACATACATTACATACATTACATACATTACATACATTACATACATTACATACATTACATGCATTACATGCATTTCATACATTACATACATTACATACATTACATTATATTACATTACATTACATTACACCACATTACATTTCATTACATTACATTACATTAATTACATTACATTACATTGCATTGCGTTACATTACATTACATTCATACATTCATACATTCATACATACGTTACATACATACCATTACATTACATGACATTACATGACATTACATTACATTACATACCAATACATTACACTACATTATATTACAATACATTACATACCAATACATTACATCCATACATACATACATAGATAGATAGACACATTGCATTGCAAAGCATTGCATTACATTACATTACATGTGTGCTCATACGCGCGTATACATAAAAAAACACATACATATACAAATAGATACATAGATATATATATATATACATACATAGATATATATATATACATATATATATATATACATATATATATATATAGACGTTTAGGTGTCAACTTTCAAACTGCATCCAGCCAATCCCACCCCTCAGCTTTTGATGGTGGAGATCGCCTCAGTTTGTCTGTGTCAGCTGGCCCCACTTTGGTTGGGTCAGCTTCCACCCATAGACAGAAAGAGTCACTCCATACTGCCACTCCACCTATCTCCCTGAATTTTCCAGGGTGGGTGGGAGTGGAAAAGCATCATCGTGATGGGTCAGCTGTGGTTCTTGAGCCAAGATGGCCCACAGCCGAAACTGAACAAATGAAAGTGATTTCATCCGGATCCACACCGGAAAAACTCTTTTCGGATGAAATCAGGAAAAGCAAAGCATTGTGCTCTTACTGAACCCCCTTGTCTGACAAGGACCATTTCCCAGAAACCATCACATTACGCAAGAAGAAACTACCAACCTTCTTGGTCAGACTATCAGAGATCATGCGGGAACCTTCAATCCAGCGAACTTGTCCTTGGGTCTTCGGAAAATCTCTTTTGAGGATGGTGAGGTCGATGGCCGTCCTCTTGTCCTCGATGCGGGAACCAGTGTTACAGCATTTGCTAAAGGTGTCGTAATGTCGTAGAGCGATTTGGAATCGGTGACGGCAATGCAGGGCACTTGGCTGAGCCAGCACATCCCACCCCTCAGCTTTTGATGGCGGTGATCGCCTCAGTTTGTCTGTGTCAGCTGGCCCGACTTTGGTTGGGTCAGCTTCCACGAATAGACAGAAGGAGTCACTCCATATTGCCGCTCCTCCTAACTCCTTGCGACTGCGCGGCCATTTGACACTTCGCGCATGAAACCTTCGTGTCATCGCTGCAGACAAACTCGTAGTTCGAATTGTAGTAGTGCCAAGATCTTGCCATTCTTATGTATAACCTGGTGTCTCGCAGACTTCACCAGGTTGGGCAAGAAAGTCGAGTTGGATTCCCACTTCGACTCCAGCCCCCGGATTTCCCGTTGCAGGTTTTCAGATGCATCCTTCGTGTTCGCCTTGAGCTTTGCCAACTCCTTTTGAATCTGTTGTACCACAGCCATCTTGACTTCTGGATCTTTGGGGACTTGAGATTGGGCTTGAAGTACCAACTCTGAAATCTCCTTATCCACCTGTTGTGTGGGTTGTGAATTTCTTGTCCCCGTTCACAGCCATAGACTCCAGCGCCTCTTGCGCATATCCCAAAATCACGTTGCTTTTCCAACGTCCCAAAAATGCTACCTGTGAGGTGGCCCAACCCTTTCTAATGTACTGCAAAGCCCCTGATCTCCTTGCGGAGTGTCCGGTGATTGCAGAGCCATACAAGGAGCGCCATGCCTTGACCACTTCAGCCTTCGTCGCCTGCTCGACCTCAGTAGTGATGGCGAGGTGGCTGTTGGTTGATCCCTTCAGCATCGCATGGTTCACCACGACTTCAAGGACCGCGTATAGGGGCATCTTAAGTCACAGCTGTCCTTACACAGGCATTGCAAGGTCCTTGTGACCCCTTTCGCCGATTGGTCCATCTTTGACCCTTGCAACGTCAGGGATACCGTCCGCCCTTTGATGTCGAAGGCGATGTCGTCCGAAGTCAACCTAGCCAATTCGATCTCCCGCAGCATCCAATGGGTCGCCATAGCAAAGAGTTGCGGGGCCAGTAATAGACCTCCACGCTTTGTGCTTCCTTCGGGTAGTAGAGACCCGCTGGACCACGTCTCTTCTTGAACTTCTGGGGCTTTCTTTCGCGGTCCCATTCCTCGTTTTGCTGCACTCATTGTCAACTTGAAGTGTCGGTCCAAAAGGTGAGACCAATCGTGCCCCAACTCTACGTGATGGGTCTTCGCTTCGATGATGTACATTATATGCCGACTTGTAGCCCGCTTCTTTCGGATCCAGCCAACATCCTGAGCGACTCTGGACATAGCGGGTAAGATGCCTCCGCCGCCTCCAAGATTTTCATGATAGAGCGTCTCCTCGATTCTTTGGCTGCTCTCCAAGAGTTCGAGTAGTAATCCCCTTCGATGCGAGCCACCATCCCATCTCTCCTTTGTTTCGACTTGACCAATTCGATCGCCCGCTTGAGTGTTGGCTTGGGTATGTGTTTGCCCCGTCTTTTGTCACCGGCCCTCACAGGCAAATCTGAGCGCCTTTGTGCTATAACCTGCTCCTTGGGCTTCACGTCATTGACCAAGACCTTCGCCATCCCCGCCGTTTCAGTCTCCGATTCCCCGCATGAACCGTCTCGTTCAGGGAGCGTAAGTTCCGAGGGTGGTGAAGTCCACATACTGCTCCAGTCGTTGAGTCTAAGTCTCTTGACCGGAGATGCCAGTAGATCGCACCACCAGGGCCTCTGGGTTCGTGTCCTTTCCTGCCCCGTCGGCGCTTCGCCATGTGTTTCATAACCTCGATGTCCTTCGTTTTGCGTGGCCATTTGGCCTTGGGATGCTCGGGCTTTCTCCTCATCACTGTCCAATACCATGTCCGCATTTTCCCAATTACCATTTTCTTGCATGGGACCGGATGACATCGGCCCGAAGTAGTCAAAATCTCTCCCACCCCCCATGTGTGGCTTTGGGGGTGTAGGTGGAAAGTTGTGTTCTATCCCTTCTTCAAACTTGCCTTCGTTGTCTTCGGGCTCTCCCTCTAATAGTCCTTGTCCACGAAGAACTCGTCCCCCACTTCGTTGAAATATCTCCTACTCCAGATCCCTTGTC